GAACAACTTACGGTGACATAAAGCGCTTCACGTGGATGCTTGCCGTGAAGTTTATACAGAACCTCTTGGTAAATTCCCATTCGAGCCGAAATAAGTAAAGCAAAAATAAGCAACAAGACACCGCATATCCACCAGAAGAACACAGAATAGTTGCTTGTAATTGTTTTTCCAAAATCGGCATTGACAGTGCTTTTCTGAAAGTTTAAAGTTCGAGTAAATTGTAAAGCTGTTTCATTTTTTTATATTGCATTAATTTAAAAGAACTTGAATCAATTTTGAATTTGAAATGTACTAACAACGTGACTTCCAGACACAACTGTACAAATAACAATTCCCAATGTTATCATCAACACCGACAAATACTTGGAGACTCCATAATGCCTCCGTAGAATAATAATACCCATCAACATATTCGTAACCAGCGAACCCTGGAATAAATAAGATAATATTCACAATTATCAATGAAAATTACTCAAGATTGAATCTATATTTGTATACGATATTAGATACGATACGAATTTTGTCTAAATTTATCCATTTCTTTGTTCAAAAAATCCACAAGAATAAATCAAATATGTCGTTTTTTAATCACAATTTACCGCTCGAATGATCATATGCAACGGCATCGGAATGTTGAAATCAAATGCTAAGTTATTACAAACATTGGCTATAAAAAACATGGCAACCAAAACAAGATAGCTTGTGTATCCGATTCGAAGCGATTGCGTGCCAAATTTTGAGGTAAAAATAAACCCTTCCAAAGCGATGAATGCAAATTGAGCAAACGAAACTAAGTTCCCAGACCCAGGATCCATTCTGAAACAACGTAAACACTCATTTTATAACAGTCTATAACCAATGAAACACTTAATAATGTTTTTCTTTGCAAAATTTGATTTTCAAAATAAAATATTCTCACTTGATCGTGTATTCCATAACAATAACATTTGAACAGCAGCCCAGAAATGTGCCCAAAATAGCCAAAACCACTTTCATTATGGATGTGGTCAGAAGACAAGATTTATAATGAAAAGAATTGAGTTCCTTAAGCTGAAAACAGATACTGTGTGAAAATTTTGATTGATTAATTTCCTCCAAAACGATCATAAAACAACTGTTTCATTTTAATTTATTCAACGTGACACGTCGTTTCCATTGCCAACCGCTTTGTTTACATTTGCACACCTGAAATAAATCACTTAAAATAGTATCAAGATTTCAATGTTTATGTGAATGAAGAAAAAACATTCTTTAAAAAATAAAACTGACGGGAAAATTAAATAATTTACGTATTATATTCACTATATTGTGGAATTCAATCTATTTTCAACTAAACTTAATGACTTTTTAGCACAGGTGACATGTGGCAAGAGAGTGAAATAGTATAATGTACAACATTTATTGTGATTTCTTGTTTGGAACATATACTAGTTGCTTCGCAACCGGTCGTTTAACTTTATATGAGTGTGCATTTAACGTGAGTCAAAACATTAGACAAATACTGTCAAAAACAGCTGTTTCACAGATCGCTGTCATAAATACAATTCCAATGAAGAAAAAAGAGTATTTATTGTAGTGGATATATTATTATTATTTTATATACAATAATCAGCGGAAAGTGAAAGTAGGACGCAACTCGCCACTGAAAACTCTAGACTCTATGTATTAAAATCGTACAGTCAGTCTACTCAGTTGTGGTGTTTTTTGGTATTGTTTTGTTGTAATAATTTCGTGTGGATACTGTAAATGATTAAGTTAGGAGTTCTACTCTGTTCTTATCTCCCAATTAACACGATTGTCAAAACGTTTGAGATTGCAATAAACAATGTTCATGGTTATAACAGTTTTTTTCCTCTGCGACAAAAAAGAACTGTGCACACTTCTAATCTCCGCCCTTTTTCTAACTTGAATCTAATCAGCTGTACAGGCTGTAAAGATATTTTGAAATATTTCGTAATTAGAGCTGATCGCTGAAAAGTAAACCAAGTCGCAATAGTTTTTTATACTTACTTTACAGCAAATAAAATGATTATCGACCAAATAAAATTTCTTCTATCAATACTGAATCGGCTGAATTTCTCTTTCATTAGTCGATCATTAGTTGGCGCTATCAAATAGTAATGTTAAAGGGTAAGAGTTATGCGTAATAAAATCGGCTCACAAATAATTGCGCTCCATTTTGATTAGTTAGCTCTGGTGTTTGCAAAATTCGCATCGATGAACTTGAACGCTGACCATAAAAACAATTACTTTAGTCGTTTGGTTTCATTCAAGTAACGCTAGAAGTGATTCAACGTTCAACCGATTTGTGATCATTTTTTTAAACAAATTTTGCACTCATTTAAAATAAATTAATTAAAACGGTATTCTCCGTCAAAATTATAGCTACACACCACACTAACCAATCCGAAAGAAAATGATTTTAAAAAAAGAAGCTGAAAAGCGAAAATTTGCATCGTTCAGTGAAAGTGAAAAAATGGCACTTGGTGAAGCACCGACAAAAACTGTAGCATCGCCCATTATGAAGCTTGACATTGATTGTTTTCATGAAGTATTTGACTACCTATCTTTCGACGATTTAATATCAATCGGCCATACTTGCAAACGCCTTCAAGGGGTTGTTGGAACCTTTGTACGGCAGAATTTTGTGGCTAAACGAAAAACTTGTGTGAACAACAACATTTACATGTGCTGGACGCCTCGTAAAATTGGCATTTTAAGCCGGTTCATCGAGAAAATATCATTTTTTGGTGGTTTTTCGGATCCTTATCAGTACATTGGTTCAAACCAGTTCACTTCGCTAAAGGAAATTCGATTGGCACAAGTCGAAATAGCTGCTAACGAAGTCAAACACATACGAGAGATTTTATTGAAAGTTGAAGTTGTGGAAGTTGATCAGTGTAAATTTAAGGAGGAATTTAATGAAAGCTTTTTAAATCTTTTCCCAAACTTACGAAGTTTGAGTGTATCAAGATCAAGCTATGATCGAGATCGAGCTACCATTATTGGAACCGGAAACGAATGGTTAACACAAAAGTATTCATCTCTTGAACACTTGGAACTGACTGATTTGTATGAGTTTAAGAACGATGACCTGAAACTATTATTTCAGCAAAATCCGAATATACGTAGCTTCTCGACGGATGCTAAATCAATTTTGGTCAATCGACACGCCTTTTTGGCATGTGATGCCAAACTTGAGAAATTGGCCGTCGATTTTCATCACCCAAATAATATAAATGCAGAAGCAGACCCACTATTCATCGTGAACTCACTTTATAATTTGTTGGTTGAATTGTACGAAAAAGGATTTTATCAAAACATACACATATACATTACTTTCGTTGATCGTCACAATTTCATGCAGAAATTGTTTTCATTGAAACCGTTGGAAATGTTGGGCGGGTTTGTTATTTCAATTGAAAATCCTCTGATGAAGCTAAGAGAATTGGATATTAATATCGGTGCCGATATTATTGGTCTAGAAACGTTCCCAATCAAAATTCCAGAACTTGAACAACTTTACTTTTCGGAAGCTAATGCTGATGATATTTTAATATTTATTTGTCATTCGTCCAAATTAAGAATAATGAAAATCGATCTTCTTTTCGATGGAACATATTTGGAAAATGGTGCACTCGATTTGGTAACACTGAATAAGGAACGGGAAAAATTAAAGAACGCTAAAAAAGTTGTAATTTACGTAAATGAAACCGTTTTCCTGGCAACGAAATGGACACACAATGAGATGAACTTTACAAAGATCGAGATTCGTCGCGGCGAGTCGTTTGAATGTGAACAACTCAACTCAAGGCATAGATTTGTTAAATCGTTTTAATACCATGATTCGAGAAAATTATCAGTGTAGGATAAAGAAGAAAAAACTAAGATGTAGACTGTAGAGTAAAAATCGGTAGAAATAAAATGGTTAAATATAGTTGATTCAATTGAAATCGTTATGAGCAAAAATGTAAGTTGTTTTGTTTGACAATAAAATCTCGTTTTAATGATTTCTGTATTTTCAAAGAGTTTTACTTCATTTACGTACATATATTCTATTCCTTGAAGCTGATGCAATCTTCAAGGCAGATTGCATTTTCCTTCACAAGATACGGATTTTATTTTCTTGTCGAAAAATCAGAGCATCGCTATTTATTTTTAGGTGAAAAAATTTTACGATTTTTATTGAATGAATGTGTTTACTATATTTTTATTAATCATCATACACGAGAGAAATATTTCATTTAATTCGAACCGAGAGAGATAAGAGCAAGAGATGTGTAAGTATTTGAAGTTGGCTGCTGGTTTGTTTTGTTTTTTGTTACTATTCGTTTACGCAAATATATATACAAATACATTGCATACACACGAGCGAATCCCCGTACAAATTTCCCCTCTTTTGTTCCGATACGGAGTATTACGCATACACTCTTAACTGAAGTAAACATCAGTGTGACTACTCTAGTAGGGAACTACTGTCAACCTTATTTATACATGCGTAAGTTTAACGCTTGCTTTACACTGGAGTATCCACGCAATTGATTATTCCAGTCTGGGGCAAGCGTCAAACTTACGCATGTATAAGTAAGTTTGACAGTCGTTCCCTACTGGAGCAGTCGCACTGATTTTTACTCCTGTTAAGAGTGTATGCGTGATACTCCGTATCGGAACAAAAGAAGGGAAATTTGTACGGGAATTCGCTTGTGTGTAGATGCATGTAGAAAGAATCAAAGCTCACATCGCTTTGTCATAATACGGTTGCTTCTAATTGTGAAATAGCATTTCAGTCATACTGTTCGATTCGAACGTGCTTGATAAGTTGGAAAACATTTCAGATCATCACATTCATCTGTAAGATACAAAAAATAGTACTTGATTGATTTATTTGTTATATATATTTTAAATTTGGTTTTTCAATTTCCTAATAGTAAATGTGTTGTTCATTTATTGATTTTAATTTTATGTACATAGTTGAATTTTTGGAAAGAACTTGTGATAAAAAGACAAGGAACACCTCGGAACAGCTACATCGGTTTAAAATGAGTGGAGAAAAGTTTAATTCGTGTGATTTTGATTTATCTCTCAAAGAAATCAATCAACTAACATCAGAAGAAGAATCAGTTCACACTCCGAGAGAACGAAATATCCAAGATGACAAAGAAGACATACTGAAAAATGATGCAGCATCTCCTGCGATTTTCAAATTGGATATTGACTGTTTTCATGAAATCTTCGATTGGCTACAACTGCACGATGTGACTTCGTTTGGTAGAACATGTAAGCGATTGCAACAAGTGGCTGGTGATTTCTATCGATCAAATTATGTGTCGAAGAGAATAATTGCTGAAAGCGGAGGCTATATATTATATCATGATTTGAATATATTCACTCCATACATTGAAAAAATATCAATTTGTGGAAATAATTCGGAAGTGTATGATTTTGTCGGGATAAAATGTAAATCAATAAGAGAAATTCGATTGGGAAATAATTTGCCTGAAGATGCAATTGAACGCATAAAAAACGTTTTGAAAAAAGTTGAAGTTATTGAGATGAATGAATGCACTTTTCGACAGGAATTTTACGAATATTTCCTTAAACAATGTCCAAAACTGAAAAAATTAAGTGTCAAAAGATCATATAAAATCCGGAATAAAGCCATTATTATTGGTTCAGATAATGATTGGCTGCTGCGAAAATACCCAACGCTTGAACACATCGAATTGACCGACATATATGAATTTCAAATGAACGAGTTGAACAACTTTTTTGAGTTAAATCATAATGTTCGCAGTCTTTCAATCGATTCTGCAAGTCTAGAAGCAAATCAAGATTTATTTTTGTCATCTAATACAAAGTTGGAAAAATTGACAGTTGAATTTTCAAGTCAAAATTTGTCAAAGCCCGTTAATGATTTGCTAGCTCAATTACATGAACGAAACTTCTTCAAACATTTGCTCGTCTATTTCCGATTTGATCCACAAGAGAATCTCGAACAAATGTTCGCGATGCCTTTTTCAACCTCATTGGAATCGTTAAATTTTGAAATTCCTTGGCCAAACCGCATGATCAACATCGACATTTGTTCAAAAAATTTGAAAGTACTAGGTATTAACAATGCCAATAAAATACTAAATATAGAGGCTTTGCCAAGGAAACTACCTAATCTTGAAAAAATTTATTTCGGAGAAGCCAATCCAAAAGAAATATGGCCATTTATTTGTGGTTCCGTAAAGTTAAAAACCATTAAGATTTTAAACATGGTTCATTCAGATGGGATTTATTCCTTTAGCGAGTTCCCCGATGTACAGAAAATGAACGAGAAACGTAAAATGTTAGCGGGAGCACGAAAAGTTGTAATTTATATTTGTGAGCGTCTTTTATTGGTTTCCAAATGGGCGAAAAAAGCGACAAATCTTGATCTAATTGAGTTAAGACGTTTTGAATCAATCGAATGGAATGATCTTAATTCACACTTTAGACACAATCATTCCAAACATTATTTTTAGATTGGAAAAATTGAATTTGTTCTAACGATTTTTCAAAATAAAATAAAAGTTTGAATTTATATGAAAATAATTTAAAATGTGAATTTAATAAATCGAGTTTTGAATCCTAATTCCTAAATTTTGTTTCTTAATTGAAAATAAAATAGCCCATAAATCAAGTCAGTAAAAACTGACAAAAATGTGGTTGGTATCAACCAGAACAGAAAGATTGGAAATATATACACAATTTAAAATATTATTATTTCGATAATTAATTCTATCGCACTAAAGTATCCATTACTGATTGGAATAAAGACAAGTTATCACGTAGCTTCAGACAACAGGATCCGAAATGTCTTCATCTGATTTGTCATCGGTTTAATTTGTAGTTTATATACATTTAGACAACTAATGTCAAAATCAGTCATTATTCCCAAGTTTGAATGCTTTTTCTGGGCCTATATTGACAAATTCGACTTTCAGCACTATGGTGCTTTCGTCACTCGCGCCTGCTGTCACCGGCTGACTTATCAGTTTTAAAAAGAGATGGTATGAATCATTTGAATACAAGACATAATTGATGTATTTATATTACATGGGTACAAAATGAAAGGGCAGCAGTAGCTATCTCATATGCAGTGTTGTCAAAGATAATCTTATTATCTAGAAAATTCAGATAAGATAAGATAAGATATTATTAGATAAGTAAATTTTTTCATTATTTATCTACGTTTTTTAGATAATTTTCCAGATAATTATGAATGTCTTGGTTTCAAACAAAAATGCTATCCAATTCCGATGTACTTGCCAGAAGAATTGATGTTCCAAATATTAAAATCGTATAGTCAATTTCGATTTACCGTTTAGGGCACAAGAAATTTGCCATTACAGGGCAAAATTGTGATTAATGATTCACTGAATCCGTCACTTCGCGTGTGAATCACAGATTCAAACTGATTTCGGGATCAAGATTAATTTTTTTCTGGATCAGAGATTCACTTTATTCTGAATCATTTTCGATTTGTGATCCAATCTAAAGTAATTTATTGTCCAAAAATGAATCACTGATCCACTGAATCAAAATAAACTGAATCTCTCCGAAAAATGATTCAGTGAATTTAATTTATGAATCTCCGTTTTGAATCCGCCCACGCGTATTTGCCATAAACTTTCATCATCGAATTTCAGGAAAAGCAGCAATGGCGATAACTCTTTCGGATGATACACGCAGGAAAAGTATGCCATTTCGGCGAAAAATTTGAGTTTATCACCAAAACAGTTGTTTTTCCAAAATCGTCAATAAAGTGAAATCGATACTACAAATGTTTCATCTTTTTTTCTTATCTAAAAATTTATAATAGATAAGATAATAGCTTATCTTTTTTCATTTAGATAAGATAATATCTTATCTTTATCTAGATAAATTTTGAAAAATAGTTGAATTATCTTATCTTCATCTAGATAAATTATTTCTTCTTTCCGACAACACTGAGTCATATGCTTTAACAATGTTTGACGTTTAGAACTGCTGTGGAAACTTTGTTGGGAGCGTCGCCAACCACAAATCTCTGTAACTATACGTACGTGTGGAAGTAAAGTCTTTGTGTGTACGTTCGTGTGAGTGCGAAGAGTCTATGTGTGCGTTGTACACAGAGATGTTGATTCGTGCAAACGTCGCATCATGTTAGGCGGCGCTATTGATATACTTTGCTTCAATCGTCAACAAAATACATGAAGTATTTCTCCGTTTTGTGAAAAGGTTGACATGAAATAAAAAGTTGAGATTTAAATACAATCAATTTGGCGGAGGTCAGAGTAATTTTATGTGTTATATAGAAATCTTTATTTTAATTTAAAATTTCTGCACGAAATGACATATCCTTCAATCGAGTAACCGATATGAATCGCATAATTCGCGACAAAGTAATTTGATACATACTTTTATAAAAATTTCTTTGTTAGACTGCGGGAGAAATGATTTAATGTCTACTTATGTTTTCACAACAATTATAGAAAAAAAAATTGGACTTTGAAATGTTAACTACATCAATTTAGAGCAAAAGATTTCAATATTAAAACATCATTAAACGATGCTTGATAGATGTTAGTGTGCTCATTGAAAATGTGTATCCTTTCGGTTGGTGCGAGGATTGTATAAAAACTTGTATTTTACAAGCGCAATCGTTGTTTCTAGCGTCGGTAATAGGGAATGTATCTGGAAAATTTTATTTGCAATACAGCGGTAAGTCTAAAATCGATTTTCACAAATTCCACATATAACACATCATAAAGAAAGCCACAAGTACATAATAAAAGGTTTCAACCGAAAGGGACTTAATTAATTTCATTGGAATGGAGTAGTTGATATCGTTTTCTGTAGACTTGATGCGTTTTCTCTTCAAGGGAAAAGGTCTTTTACTGATGCATAACCTTACTTGAACTCTCGATGTGTTTCGGATGTTAAAACGATAACAATAATATACGCATTTAGATTAGTCGGTTTTGAATGTGAATGGTGTTGCCGGTGCTATGTTGTCGAATGGTTTTGGTCATTTTAATTGACACTTGGATTGCGAGAGTCAACGGAACAATAAACGACTCATCCCAGCGCATAAACAAAAACATACATACAGAGTACACACAGTCACACACAACAACAACAACATCATCATCATCATCAATTCACCAATCATTAATCTTATCCGGTACTAAATTCCAGGAATGGATATCAATATATAGTAGTCCAACACAAAGGTGTTGTATGTATTTCCATCGACTCCGTATTAAGAATGTTTCGCTTCGGTAGCGGCAACGATAGCCGACAATCAACAACAACAACATAGTACACCACACGGCCAGTTGATTTATTGTCATCGTAAAGCATTTAGACAATATGCCCTGGGTCATTGACAAAAGCATGCATAACACTGCTTCATCAAATCTGGTGAACCATCTAGACGTATCCAAAGTAAATGCTTTGCATATCTCAATTCAATGGTTGGCACTGATTTAATTTTCGCCCCAGAAATCGGAAATGATTTGCATTATTTTGTCATCATGTGTCCATTTACATAACCTTCCACCACCAAACCTTCCTTTTTATATGTCCCTTCTCTTTTTCTTGTTGCTCCCCAGGAAATACGGCAGCCAATTTTTTCCACCAATTATGGGTTCTTTGTGATTCTTTTTATTAATGCATTATATGTCAATTGGATAGAATGTGATAAATGACTCGTCACCAACGGACTCGTAAGTCATGACCAATAATAATTCAATAATTATTTCTTTGACTTGGTTCTATTCATCTTGTCACCAGTCGAAACATGGTCCATGTGTTGTCAATCAAAACACTAATGGAATTGATTACTTGAACTGATTTCAGCAGTGTCAACAATAAAAACATGACTACTAAACAAATTGCCTTGTTTTTCATGCTAATGAAATTAGCTGATCTGATGCTGCGTTGCTTAGAGAGAAGATTCATCAAAATATGTTTCCCAGTTGCTTTGCTAAAACAGTGAAACTAAAAAAGTAATAAAAACTGACAGATTGAATTTTAAGTTTACTAAGTTTAAGCATCAAATATTTCTTGTCTAAAGCAACGGCACTAAAACCATTTAATGCAACAGTCTGTGTTCATTTTTTTTTTTTGAAAATTGAATAATTGAAAGAAGTGAGTCGTTAAAAAGTTTTGTGCTGATCTCGGTAAATATTTGCGTGAGGGAAAACTTTATTGGCCGAAACTAAAAAGCCACCTTCACAAATTATCGCTGAAATTAACAAATTCTGCATCATTGAGTTTAATTGTCGTCGAGCGTCCAGTGTTGACCGAATAAGGATAAAAAAAAAACACACACACAAACCATAAAGTTATGCGATTATGAATGGAAATTATAATTTTTCCTGATAATTTTCGCTCTGTGTTGGTGGGATTTCCTGACATTTACTGGTTGCATTTTTTCGGCATTCTTTTTATTCACTCAAATTAATTTATGTGTGTGACAAAAGTTTGTGGTTGTCGTACGCAAGGTAAAAATATTTAATTCAATGTAATTGGTTATACAATTTAAATGTGTCGTACAGTGTGATCGGGCGGGGGGTTTGAGGATGTCGTCACTAGCTTGAACATGATTTCAAAATGCCTTGCTTCCGAATCGTATGATACAAAGTATAATGATGGGCATCATGTTCACATACGTCGTCAAGGTATAGAGCAAAATGTAATGCAGAAAATTAAATTTATTCCCCCGGTGATTATATAATAATAATACGTAATAATGGACTTTGCCTACATTTATATACGTAAAAGAAAGAGATGTACAGACAGAAAATGGAATGTGATTCGGTGTAGCGTAACGTTCGGCTAAGGCAGTGCGACACCATAAATCATAGGATAATTAACGATATTTCCATATAAATACATAAAAGCAGTTAAAATGTTATATATTATACACATTGTATATTGTATATTGTATAATGCATATGTATATGGATGTACGACACTGTTGCCCAAGCAAAATGCAACTGTTACCGCATCGCTTCGCTCAACCAACACACATGCATCCGGTTCAGTATGCACGTAATTATGTTTCCTTTAGTTTCCTTTTCACCAAGCAAATCGGGCAAACATTAGGCTGATGGTTCGAAGCGAGCAAGTTTAAGAAGACATTGCCATCCAATTCACTCATAATTAGAATACTCGTTCAATTTTAAGCTGATGTTGAGTCTTGCACACGACAAATGCTATTTACTAGTTTGATTCCAACCCAACGACACATACCGTCATCGAATATATTGTATGTACATATATGTATGATACTGCGTTTGATGTATGACGATAAAATCAATTTCAAAGTCATTAAAATTTGCTCTCACTCACAACTTTGAGCTTAGGTAGATGTTTAATTGGTATCATAATGTGCATTATGTCATCGACGAAATGACAACGATGATGCGACTCTAGCGACACTGTGACGGAAGTGAATGAAATAATAACATTAAAATATGCTTGTGTTTTCAAAAGTGCTTAATTCATTAATAGAAAATTACTTTTTCAGCAGCAGCTTCTTCTACACTAGCTTTATGACTTTACACAGGAAATGGAATTTCCGCTAAGTCACTTCAGAGAAGA